GATTGCTTTATGAGCTGTCGCTTGGCATAATGTACATATAATTTTTATGGCCAGGCATAAAAATCTAAGCAGTTGCAACAAATGCATCCGACAGTTGACAACAGCAGCGGAAAGCAACAGCAAACAGACAACAGGCCAATCAGCAACATCTTCGTTAGCTGCCTGACCGCCTGCCTGCCTGCCTGCCTGCCCCCTTGCTGCAACTGCAGTTGCCTTTACTGCTTCGTCATTAATCAAATGGAATTGAAATGCGCCGCGTGTACATCACACGCCGTTGTTGTAGCTCTCGATGTTGATGTTGATGTTGATGTTGCTGCTGTGCCTCTCAATGTTGCTGTTGCTGTTGCTGTTGTTACCGTCGAGCAGCGCCCATTTGGAGTTGGCCATTTTTGCGCATTTTAATCATGCCCCGTCTCGCCTGTAGTTATTTGGCGTTTTTTTTTCTGCCCTGGCCAAAAGAGATCTGCGCCAACTGATAAAGTGATGGCGATGCCAGCGTTCAGCTGGTTGCGGACTTCCCCTCTGCCTCTGCCTCTGCCTCAGCCAACGCCAACGCCAACGCAGGCCGCACTGGCCAAAATGATTAATACATCTTGATGCGATTTGGTTTGTAACGCAGGCCGCAATAAAAACGTGGCTTTTGATTGACAATGGGGCAGAGCGGCAAAAAGAGTTTGAGATGCCGGACCGTTGATTGCTTCATTAGGCGGGGGCCTCGAAAGTTGGCGAAACCGTAGCTGAAGCCGAAGCCGGGAAGACCATTTGATTCAATTATGCATTTGCATGCAATTGAAACATAAGCCACAAGTGGCAGTGGCATACTCAGAGTCAGCCTCCACAGCAGCAGCAGCAGCTGCTTATCAGCCAAAGAGAGCCGTTGAGCTATTGGTCAATTGGTCAACAGGCAGTGCCACTGCAGTGCCACGCGGCATGTGGCAGCCGTGTGGCGTATCCGGCTAGTATTTGGGGGCAGACCAGACTGGTGGGCGATAATTATCTGCTTGAAAAATGATCGAATGGTCTGCCGCTGGAGAGCGGTCTCACTTGGCTAACGATGACAATTTGCAATGAAGAGCGGGAGAAAAATATATGCAAAATTATTTGCAGCTGCATGCCACACACCCTAGCACACAAACACACTGACAGACACACTTAAGCCATACGTTTTGAGCTCCCGTGCGTTTTCAAATGGGTTTTGTAATTTACGCAGCGCTGAAAGCGTGAGTTTCACAATTCGCATATAGCGGAATATGGCAGGTCATTAATATTTGGAATTTCCTGTGCGTAAATGATTGAACCAAAGATCAACGGAGTTTACCCCAAAAGTATGCAACGAAAGGCGAAACGCGACACATCATTAAGTTGCACAGCGAGCCATGATTAACCCATTTTCTTATATAATTATCACATTGTACACACGCACACGCTGGGCAATGAGCACCGCGTATACGCAATGCAGAACGCCCCATCGTTTATCTCAATAAATGTGATTACGGAGCCAGGCAGGCCAGGCCAGGCCAGGCCAGGCCAGCGAGAAGATCATCAACAAGTACCGCTTTCCATCGATGATGATGGCTCCATTTTGGCCAATCGAAGTGCAATTTGATTGCGGTACGTGAATCCACTCAAAGACATCGTCGCGTATGCTCTGCACTGCTCTGCTCTGCTCTCCTGTGCTGTGTGGAATGGCCAGCAGGTTTTCATTTGTACCGCATTGTCTTCGTTATGCCTCAATCTTCTTTTATGAAATTTCTTGCCTGCAATTGTTGGAATTATTTTAATTGATTGAGCCAACGCAAGAGGGGGTGTTGTGTGGTGTGGTTTTTTTTGCTTTGCGACTGGTTTTGGCTTTTATTTGAGTCAAGCCGAACCGAACCGAACCGAACCGAGCCAAGCCGTCTGCGCACACTCACGCACTCGACGATTGGTAATTGAAACTTGTTAGTGAAGACATTAAAAAATCGTTTAGCAAGGTATTTGGGTTAAAAATGCGTGGAAAATCGTGCAACCAAAGCGACAAAACAGAAATGCCAGCAGCAGCAGCAGCAGCAGCACAGGCAGTGACAAGTCCAACAAAGAAAACGGCGGCACAAAGCAGAAGCAGCCAAAGCGTGTGATTTTCATTGATTGTCTCCCAGGAGGGAGGAAAACCCAAACCATTGAGAGAAAATTGTGTAACCGCAAAATAAAAATTCCTGCACATAAACTAATCCCAGACGATGGGTTTGTCTCCTCTTTCTTGCATGTTTTGATCACTGACGCCGGCAACAATGGATAGAGCTCCGGCTGTGGGTTGAGGTTGGGGATTTGGATTTGGATTTGGGTCTACTCATAGACCAAATGGTGATGGTTTCCCCTCTTTCCACTTCTGCAACATGCAAATAACTAAGTCAAAGCGCTCAAGATCTTGGCTTAATTAAAAAGCTTTCCAATTATAGTTACATTTTTATTTATGACCCTCTAGTTGAGAGCCTAATCCCCGGCTCTCATCAAAGCCCCCCCTTGGATATATGGATAGTTATTCAAACATAAAAACCCATCATGCTATCATGTTTTTAAAATGATGCCGCCTCGGGCTGTTTGCATTGGCCAAAATGCGCTAACAATTTCTACGATTACGATTGCGATTACCATGCGGCATTTGGGGGGAAATAAAATGCACTTCCAATCCCCCTAGAAGACCCCCCGCCAATCGCAATACCCCGTTTTGCAGATGCAGTTGCATGCATCTTCATCATGCCACAGACACGAGCAAAGATGGGAAGATGCATGTGCCGGGCACATGCACATCCACATCCACATTCACATTCACATCCATGGGCCACGTCCATGATTGGCTGGCCGCCAGTTATATGAGCACGTCTCGACGGCCCGGCCAACTTTCTTTCCGAGACTCAGACTAAGACGCAGACTGCGGCTGTGGCTCAGGCACAGGTTGAGACTCCGTTTTGTACTACGTCCCGCATCCAAATCACAATAATCGTGCTCAAATTAGTCAATATTTGAGCGCCAAAACGCTCAAACAAAGGATTATTATTTTATTTCATATTTCTGCGCCTCTCTCCTCTCTCCTGTCTCCTGCTCTCTCACAGAGCGTTTCCCTGCTGTCGGTCATAAAGTATATATAAAGTAATTTCTGCATCTTAAACATGATTATTAAGTAAACCACTGGGTAGGCAAGCAGCAGCAGCAGCAGCAGCAGCAGCAGTAGGTTGGGCTGTCAGTTGGCAGGCAAATGACCACAAATGATTACGCAGAGTTTTTGTGTGAAACTTTCAGTGCTTTGCCTCCGTGCGATAGTCGTGGTGCGATAAGTCAGGGAAAACACTGGAAAACGAGCTCACCTTAAGAGCCTTAAAAATGTTAACTGACCGCTTACCAAATGGACCGCACTTGTTGCCACTTTTTCTCCTCTTTGGCCTGGTCTTTGATCAGGTGTTGATGCTGCTGCCGTGTCTGCTGCCGTCTCTTAGCTAAGTATTTCCAGAGCCCCATGCCACAGTTTGATTTCTCCACAGATATTGCACTTAAAAGTCTCTAGAAGCAGCAGCAGCCTGGCAGGCCGGGCAGCATCTAAAATATTTACCAACAGCGGCATTTTCTCTACGCTCTGCCCTTATCTAAAGTATGCAAGCCGGGGTACGGGTCTGGGCACTGGTACAAGCTCTACGACTACACGAGCAATGCAAATTTGTTAAGTCATTTTTGTTTGTGGTTCTCACGCTGCCACACCGCCACAAAACAGCGACAGAACCGCCGTAAGGTCCATTTTTCATACACACAAATATACGATTACTCTACGATTGGGAGTCAGTTTCCAGCGAATAAATAAACACACACAAAAAAGAGTCAAATCAATTTGACAATTTGAACATTTGGCACATTTGCTAGAACACGACTTGGGGGCACAACTAGATACAGATACAGAATCAGAAATGGCAAGAGAACCAGCGCTGGACTGTCAGTTCGATCACCTTAGGGGTACACCACACATGAATATATTGTGTGTAATTCTGTTCTGATATGGGAATACGTATACAGTAGCCAATATCAGACGGAACTTGCGGCGATCTACAGTGCAGGGTAGAAGGATAGGATACCCCAACACGTGTACATACAAATTTATGAATTTACTCCGTAGATTGTGGTGCAATAAATTTTGTTGTTTTCGTTCGATTTTAGTTTATCTTTTGTCATGCTTTAGTTTATTATTAAGTAATGTATTTTATATATATTTTAATCAAATTGTATTCCCATTTCTCTGTCTCCCACTGTGCATGTACGTAGCCGTTCTTTTTGCAAGCTTCTATTCTAAATGCCCGGCTCGTAGTGCGTCCGTCTGTCTGTGTCTCACTTGCCAAATCTATGCAAATGAAACAAGCCAAAAACTGAGAGAAACCAGAATGGGTCGCAAAGTAAGGGAAACAAGACAAATAAAACAAAAAAGAAGAGAAAAAAAACTGTCGCAATGACAGGTTGAGTTTGGTTCGAGTTTGAGTTTGGCATTAGCCAAAGTCCAAGTGCGCCTTCGCGAGAGATTTACGAGGCGGGCACGCCAAATGTGTTTACACTTTGTCACCCTTCTGTCAGCTTGATTTATTCGTTTGCAGATAGCCAGCCGGCTAAAAAGCCAAGCCAAGAGCGGCTCAAATTAAAATGCAAGTATGGCCGGAATGCAGGCCCAGGCAATGCGGCTAGAATGAGTGAGCGAGCTGGCGAGTGAGTGAGCGAGTGAATGACTGATTGACTTAAGTGGCCGACTGACAAGTGGCTTTAATCAATCGGTGTGTCAGAAAGTGGTACTCCATGTGTGTGTCAGTGTGCGTGCTGGTCGGAGAAATGGAGAAACTAAAACTGAAATCGAAATCAAGGCAGAAATAACTTAGTCACACTTTTCCTGGAGCTTCTGCACAGAAGAACTTTTTCTACTATCACGATAGAATCGTTTTTGGAAATCTGCTCTAATTGATCAACTTTCTTTTATTCTGTTTCTTCCGCAGTTAACCAACACTGACAACCATTGCGCATTAGCCCACACTTGTCGAATTAAGGCGCTACTCTGGCGCTTCAGGCTCAACAAATGATCGGCACTGAGGATATGTCCGCGTCGGCTGGCATGGATATAAGCGAATCCTTTCGTGCCGAGGATCTCTCCAAGGCGGACTTCTTCGACTTTGTCACTGGCCCCGACATGGGCATCGGCATTGGTGTGGGCGTCGACTCATTGGGCGTCAGCCTGCACCAACAGCAGCAGCAGCAGCAGCAGCAGCAGCAGCAGCACCATCAGCCCCACCAGCAGCAGCAGCACCACAGTCAGCACAACAGTCACACCGCCAGCCACGTTCAAGTGGTGCACCAGCCAGCCATCTCCATCTCCACCCAATCGCCGCAGCAGGCCCTGTGTGGCGGTGGTGCGAGAACCAACAGCAGCATGATCCACGATGGTGGGGGAGGTGGTGCAGGCGGAGGGGGAGGCGGCATTGTGGTGCCCGTGGGCAATCGAAATGGCAGCAGCAATGGAGGCGATCCCACGTTACAGGGCTATGAGGTAGGTGCACAGGAAATCATGCACAGAAAAACCTCTTAAGAACTACCTGAACCGATCTGATCCAATCTTATATGATAATCAACTCCTTTCAAATGATCTTTTGTTTCTTGTAATCCTTTCAGTTCTGGCACCAAGACAAGGACAGCAGTCGCCTCGATTCCACCTCCATATTCGAGGATCTGGATCGTTACTGCTGGCAGCAGCAGCCGATCACTGCCAGCGCCGGTAATAGTGGAGCCACCAGCACCAACCAGCCCAGTCCCACATCTCCTCAGTCGCATCACCACCAGCAGCAGCAGCAGCAGCATCCACATCCACACCAACAGCAGCAGCAGCAGCAGCAGCAGCAGACAAATCCCAGCAGTTCCTCGGCCGCCTCCAGTGGGGCGGGCAGCAGCAGCGACACCATCAGCAGCCTGGACACCACCGACGGACAGATCTACACCCTGACAGTATTAAACGGCGGGGAGCCCTGGCTCAAGCGCTCAGAGGCAGAGCAGCTGCCGAGTTCCCTGGATCTAGACAGTCTCCTGGGCAGCTTTCCGGGTTACATCAAGTCGGAGTATCCGTACGACGACAGCGGCTTCAGCACAGACGGCAAGGATGTGCTCGTGAATGGGGCAGATGCCAATGGTCTCAGCAGTATTTCCCAGGTCCCCTCCCAGACGCTGCCCTCGCTCGTCACGGCCATCTCCATTGCGGGGGGCAATGACTTGGGGCAGCAGTTGGCCCAGTTCCAGAACAATAACAACGACTGGCATATGGCCGATCACAATGCCGACACGGAGCAGAGCACGGCGGAGTCGCTGCTGCGGAGTGCGCTCCAGGGCAAGGGATACGCCAAGGGTCTGCATATGCAGAACGGTCTGGCCATGCCCGTCGTCAAGGAGGAGGACATGCGACGGCTGCTCTTCACGGACGATGCTGCCGATGCTCTGGGCTTTGCCGACTCCACGCTGAGTGCCGCCCAAATGTTTGACGAGGCTCAGGGCATGGCTGGTGTCCATCTCACATCCCAGCAGCAGCAGCAGCAGCAGGTGCAACAGCAACAGCAGCACAATGGCAACGCCAACATCATTGTGGACGACATGTTCCTGTCGCTGGAGAACGCCTTCAGCGATGATTTTGAGAAGATCAAGCGGATCGCCAATGAGGTGCAGCAGTTCTGCACCGGAGGCTCCTCCACGCCCACGCCTGGCGCGGATTACAGCAGTGCCAGCGATGTCCTCATGCAAATCTCACCGAATGCGACGGCAATCGCGACGGCCAATCAGCTGCAGCCGCCGCAGCCTTTAAAGCCGGAAGTGAGCACATCCACACCGCCCACGGGTGGAGCTGCCTCAGCCGCCACTCATCCGTCTGGCAGATCGGGCAGTGGCATCTCAAAGCCCAAGAAGCAGTACAAACGGAGCAGCAGCTGCAGCACCAGCAGCAGCAACAACAATAATCCAAATGTGGCTAACAACAACAACAGCAGCAGCGGAGGAGGAGGGGTAGGGGGAGGAGCACTGGGCGTGGTCATGGGCAGCAGTGCGGGAAGTGGCAGCTCCTCCTCCAGCGGCAGTGCCAGCAGCAGCAGCAACAGTCCGCCCGCCAACTCCAGCGGCTCCGGCTCCTCCGCCAGTGGACAGCGAAAGGAGCGCTCCCTGCACTATTGCTCCATCTGCTCGAAGGGATTCAAGGACAAGTACTCGGTGAACGTCCACATACGCACGCACACGGGCGAGAAGCCCTTCGCCTGCTCCCTGTGCGGCAAGAGCTTCCGGCAGAAGGCGCACCTGGCCAAGCACTACCAGACGCACATGACCCAGAAGAACAATGGAAACCTGATCAAAGGCAGCTCCTCCAAGCACCAGAGATCCAGTGGCGGATCATCTGCGGCAGCCGCAGCAGCAGCAGCGGCCGCAGCGGCAGCGGCAGCCTCCATCAATCAGCAGCGGCAGATGACCCCATCACTGCCGGGGATGATCAGCAATCCGAACACACCGCCCGGCATCCTGCCCCCAGCGAATGGTCTGCTCACGAATCGGTAGTTCCACGTAGCAGAGGTACCCGCAAAACGAAACTATTTCTTGTTCCTTACTCACAAAACACACACAAACACACAATGACAAAAGCTATAAAACTACTACTCGAATACACACACACACACACACACACACACTCCTGGAGGGACCTCTCCAGATGGTCCACTCCGCCTCGAATTTATGTCATTGAAGAATTCCTATATTCAGCTTTCTGTGCAATTCCTATACCTATACCAACACTCGAAGCACTTCCAAATAAAATACTCAACTTAATGTACATTTAATGCCTAAACACAACCACAAATTAAATTTAAATGTGCCAAATTTTGAAGATTTTAATTAATGCTACTACCAGATAGAATCTACAACTAAACTAAATAGAGATACGAACATTTAAGCGTAATAATCAAGCTAATGAAGCAATTCTACGCGTGGTGATATCAAAATGAGGCCAAACGCTTCCCTGCTAAAAGAAATACTTGTGTACTCCCCGTCCGACATCCAAACTTTATTCTCATTCTCCAAGAACGTTGCGTTTCGTGTTTTTTTTTTTCCTGTAAATTAAAAGTATTTTGTTTTCTTAGTTGCATTGCCCAAATTAGCAGAATTTTGTTTGCTAGTGTAAATGTAAATAATTATTGAGTTAATTAACTAATTATATTGAATTAGTTTCTAATTAGTTTCCAGCTAAGGGAATGCCAAATGCTTGAGATCAAAGTTCAAGAACACTGACCCAGGGCCAGTCTTTATGTGTTTTTTTCCTGCCAAGTACTTTCCAGAATTTCTCTCCTCCTTCAAGGATCTCTTTGATCTCTTGGGCCCCTCCCAGTGTTCGCAGACTTCGAAGCGGCATTCTGCTTAAGTAGACGAGGGCACAAGTAAAATTAATCTATAAACAAATAAACAATCAACGCGTTCCAGCAGCTGTCGAAACGAATGCGTAAAACTCAACATGCACTTGCCATTATTTTTGTATTTGATAAAAATAAATTGATATAATAAAACAAATAATAATACAAATAGTGCCCTTAAATGTATAGAAAACGATGAAGAGAGAAAGACAGAGAGAAGTAAGCGTTGGTTAAGCTTAAACTAATGGTTAATTAAACTGCCAATTATTTTGTGATAGTTTTTAAAAATTAAATTCCATTAATAATATATTATTATATGTATATGTAAGTGCATATCTTCAATGGTGTTTGGGTTATGTAACATTTAATCGATTTGTTATAAACTGTGTGTAAACTTTTTGCAATACGAGTAGTATTTCTTCTTCTAATTTATTGAATTTAATGGTTATATGTACATACGACATACGACAGTCCGTTGAGCAAGGGGGAGAGGAGAGGTCGTTCGATCCTTGTTTTATATTGAAGCCTAGGCTAAGCCACAAACACATCAACAGAAAATCTTAGTTAAATCTTTGTTAGTTAATATTTATGCACACACACACACACACATATCCATTTGCGGTTAAGTTTTGCATTAATATTTTTATTAGTATTGCAAGCATAAAAAAAAATAAAGAAATCTAAAACGTTTTATTGACAATTAAGATTCGGTTCGCTTCGTGTCTGCATTGATCCTGCCTTGGGTTAATTAGTTTCAGCATCTGCCACTCGTTACGGAGCCAGCCACCACTCGTCTCTGAAGATTGAAATAATTTTCTCCAATAAAGGAAGGCACATGAAAGCTCATGCAGCTGCGCATGTCAACCGGAGACGCAGCCGGGGCCCACGGGCAGGCGGCACTTGTCAGTCAAAATCAAAGTACTTCGTACCCGGCTACCGCCACAGCCTGGGAGCATCAGTGCCTCATTTGGTGGATGGCCGCAAATGCGTGTGCCGCATGCGCCAAACAGCCAAACAGCCAAATGGCCAAATGGCCAAACGGCAAACTGCTAACGCCAGCAGCAGCCATCAGCGTAGATTAGAGAAAATTTTTCACCCGAAGAGATCAGGCACCACACGACCGAGACACAGACTGATGCCTCCACGGCTCCATGCTTCGACTTCAGCAACAGCTCCAGCAGCTGCTGTTGCGGCAAAAAGTCATTTGAGATCGAAACATGTCGATTAGGGAATTTCAAGAGGCGCCAGTGGCCGTCGCACAGGTGGCTAACATCATGGATGCCGCTGCCGCAGTCCGTGGCACCTTTGGGGGGTGCTGCAACAAGCACGCGTCTTAATTGCTTCTGATGTTTGAACTCTGAGCCACGCTGCAGCATACGTACAAGTACGAGAGTATATTTGCTCAATGAAAAATATACAGGAGAACAGACAGCAAAGCCTAATATCGTGGAAAAGAAAGTTATCTACGAGGACTAGTCAAATATAAGCCATAAGTCTGGGCCATAAAAAGATTAGAGGGGTGCGATGCCTTCATTTAGCTAACCGTCGCGACTGTGTATGCAGCCTATGTCGGACAACGACCACCTCCAGTAGCCAGACGATTGAGGAGAGCGCGGACATAAAGCCGAAACCATACCAGACATACTGCAGATCCATTAACTGCATGGCCCGGAACTCTCTGAGGGGACTCAGGTCGAGAAAGTGCAGTTCCCCTGCATCGATCAGCTCCGAGAAGGCGCTCTGCATCCAGTGCAGGCTGAGGCCCGTTTCGGCCAGTTCCATGATGAGCGTGAGAATCGGTTCAATGAACACTGAATTCTCATGGATGGGAAACCCGAACGGTATGTTATTGAAGAAGCAGAAATCCTCCCGCATTCGAAACAAGGGCTTGGAGAACACCTTCTGCTGCTCGGTGACGACCATCCACTTGGTGGTGTGCATCATGTAGCCGTACTTGGTGTTGAAGGAGTCGCGCAGACTTATGTACCGGCTGAAATCCGGCACCACCATGAACATGGAGTCGTACCTTCGGAACTCTGCCAGTCGCCCAATCAGCTCCGCATATTCCGGCGTCCAGGCCACCACCTTCAGGCTGGAGGCGAATAAATCATCGTAGCTGCGATACGGCAGCTGCTTGGGCGCTGCAGTTACGTAGGCGGAGAAGTAGGAGTTGTACCAGGCCGTGATGAGAATTCCCAGCACGCAAATCTCCAGGTAGATGCCACGCACCAGAGTGGGAGCCCGATGCACCTCAACGAAGGACTGCCCCAGCACTCCACGCAGGCAGCTCTCGTGCAGGAGGAAGTCATACGGAGCCACCTGATAGCCATGAAGCCACAGGGTCATGGCCAGCAGAGAGGAGATCACCACCAGCGTGGACAGGGCCACCAGGAAGGCCTGCAGATCGAACACCCTCGTGTAGTACTCCGGAGTGGGGACATCCGCCTCCACGGGCAGCATGAGACACCAGTTCATCTGCTCGTAGGGGTAAGTGAAACCGAAGGGCGGTATGGTGGGAAATGTCAGGGCCATGGACATCTCCACGGAGTTGTTCCGCACAGCGGCCACCGTCTGCATGGACGGGGCAAAGACAGTCGGCGATGTCTGCCGAAGCGGCTGCACAAAGCTGAAATTGTATTTCCGCTGAAAGACGTCCATGAAGTGGCCAACGGTGCCCTCGTACACCAATGTGCCCCGCTTGTAGTAGGCAATCATTCGTGGCGAAGTGCCGCCAATAATCATGGGCATTCGATAGCCGAGGAAGTTCCTCAAGCGATTGGGGAAAATTTCCAACGAGGAGTTTGGCTCATAGAGTGACTCCTCGACTTGAAGATGGGGAAAAGGTGAGTAGCGGTAGAAAGTTTGGGTTATCTGGAGGAAAGAGAATATATTTTTATTTAATTGAATCCTCGAGTATTTCTTTACCCACCTCGTGATCCGCAAACAAGACCAGAACATTTAGCATCTTCATTTTCCAGCAATGCGAAAACAAATCCAGGAGTAATCCTTCACTTGCCACTTCCACTTCCACTTCCATCAGAAATATAATCCTCGATGTGGTCATATGTCAGAGATTGGCTACCAGCGCCCTGAGCAAGCCATCGTGCTCCTCCAGCCTTCCGTTGCTCAAGTAAACCACGGACACCAGTCGATTGCTGATGCTGTTGTGCAGAAAGTAGCTCACATTCTCATCCAGCTGTAGCACAGGAATGCTCAGTTCATCCATGAGTTCCATGGCCAAAGAGCTGCCATTCCAAGCCTGGTCCGGCAACGTGGCATTCCGGTTCTTCATCAGCAGCAGGTAATCAAAGCGTGACTCCTGCCGTATCCTGTCCAGCAAATGCACAACCTTTGAGGCATTCGCCCCCAAGCAAATCAACCAAAGGCAGCCAAGGATCAGAGCCGGACAATCCATCACGATGGACGAGTCACCACTGCATGACACTGATTGATGCCGCTGCACATTTAAAGGGTTGCTAATGAATCCACCGACAACGCCGGCTAATGGCCAATTCCAATTAGCAGGCCATGTTAACAAGTCCCAAAAGCGAGTGAAAAAACCGTACACCAAAAAGAAAACATATTTCCCTTGGGTCTACAAGGCAACAACTGAAACAACCAAAAAATGTGGTGGGAACTGTCCCATACAATTGTTGTAAAATAAAGAATTGGGTTGACTAACGTTTGAAGTTGCTAAAGCCTGAGTGTTGGAGACTCTTTTATTCATATTGGATACAATTATAAATTATATTATAAATGTGCATCGAAAATACGATTTCCTTTGCCATTTTCTCCGAGTGTATTTAGCATACAAACTTCCTAGCTCTGTCCCTAATTTGCTGACGATAGAACCACATAAGCTCCAAAAGAAACACCAGGGCAGCCGCAGCCATCATCAAAGCAAAGCCCAGAGAAATCTGTTGCAAGTCCATCAGTTGCATGGCGCGAAACTCCTTGGGCTTGCCCCGATCGACCAGGCTCATCTGACCCGCCTTGATCATCTCCGTGAAGGCCATTTCCCGCCAGTGATTAATTAGACCCGTGGCCAGCGATTCCAGGATGAGGCGGTTCAGGGCCTCCTGGAAGATGCTGTTCTCCTTGATGGGAAAGACAATGGGAATGGCGCGGAAGAAGCAGAGCTCCTCCTGCATGGTGAACAGGGGAGAACTGAAGACCTTCTGCTCCTGGCTGATCAGCAGCCACTTCTCCAGCGGCAGCATATAGCCATATTTGGTATTGAAGGAGTCGCGCAGCTCTATGAACTGCTTGTAGTCCGGCTCGAAGTGAAATATGGACTCATACTTCTCCATGCTGCTGAAGAAGTTCAAGTTCAAGTATTCGGTACTCAGCGGTCCAAACCACGATCTTCGTTTGGGAACGGGCAATGCTGTCGTAGCTGGTAAATGGTGGCCGCAGCGGTGCACTCGTCACGTAAGCGGAGAAGTAGGAGTTGTACCAGGCGGCAATCAGAATCCCCAGCACACTGATCTCCAGGTAGATGCCACGCACCAGGGGAGGGGCGTGAAAAACCTCCGCAAAGGACTGGCCCAGCAGTCCCCTCAGGCAGCTGTTGTGCAGGACAAACTCATTGGCCCGCACACGATACCCATGGAGCCTCAGGGCCATGCCCAACACCAGAGAGATGGCCACCAGCGCGAGGAGAGTGAGCAGAAAGGCGGGCCATTCAAATACCAAGGTGTACAGCTCTCTGCGTGGAATCTCCTCCGGTACAGGCATCATCAGGCACCAGCTCATCAGCTCGAAGGGATAGGTATAGCCGGCAAAGGGCCACTGAGGATAGATGGCCGCCAGAGCAAACTCGGCACTTCCGTTGCGCACTGCTCCAATGAGTTGCAGGGCTGGCGGTATGGCGGATTCATTGAACGGATGAGGCTGCACCAGACGGCAATTGAACCGCTGCTCGATGCACTTCATCAGATTGCCAACAAACCCGGTGTACATTAGCTCTCCATCGGACCCTCGGTACACGATTAGACGAGGCGCAGATCCGCCCACCACAAAGGGTAGCTGATATCCATGTAGATCCGTCATTCGTGGAGGGAACAGCAGGGTGGTATTCTCGAGGCGTCTCTCAATAAACTGCAGAATGGGAAACGGAGTGTAGCTGTACAGGATGTGGCCAGGTTGCTGTAAAAGAAAATGTTGGAAAATGGAAAATGTTATGCAACAAATTTATTTTAAATTTATATATTACCTCAAAATCCTCATAAATAAACTGCACATTGAGAAACTCATGCAGCCAGCACCATTCCAGCAGTGTTTGCACTCGCATCTTTTGATTTCTCATCACGAAAAGAATCGGAACAGTGTTCAGCATTCTCAAATTCAAGTGGATAGCCTCGAGCAATGCCTCGGGGAAGTCGTCACCCACAAAACCAATGCTCAGAAAGTTCTTCGCATGATGTTTGCTCAGATTATAGTTCACGTGCGGGAACTGCTCGTCAATCTGAATGACAGACACCGGCAGCTGCCATAGACTCTTCAGCCAAATGGGCTCAGAATTTCCCAGCAGCAGAACATACTCAAAATGCAGCTCGGCCTCCAGTTGCTGAAGAAACTGCAACTCGAAACACTGCCAGCCGGGACACTGCACAGCCACCAGGATGAACTGAAAGAGCCACAGCTGCCTCATGCCGTATGACTGTTGGAATGTCTCTGTGGAAGCAGTACCCTGTAGCAGCTCCTTTTATGCACACCCCAAACACACACATTAGCATGGGGGCGTGAACATTGAGAGTCATAAATCAGCACACACAACACGTGAGGTTTTTGCACAGGTAAGCCACGTTTGGGAATATATTTGAATCGAATATGAATGGGATTAATCCATCAACGCATGTACTGGTCGGAATATATTTTCATGTTGTCGGGATACTTCTCCCCGAGGGCACACAGATTCTTGAATTGGACATCACGACGCTTGCAGAGCGCACCCGCTGACATGGCGATCTGGTAGATGGCCGTGTGCTTCATGCCGACAGTGGAAAAGCAGCAGCTGAGGTAAAAGTAGTTGTTTCGATCCTCGGTGAATTTCAAAGCAGAACAACCCACAAGCGTGTTGCGATCTGTCATCAACAGCACTGGCCTGTATGTCGATCTGGCGAGTATAGAAAGAACTATTGAAGAACTCCCTTATGGGGAAACTGTTAGGGAACCTACTTAGAGTCCTTGCGCTCTTCTAGATACATCAATTGCTCTTTGGTAACATATTCTCCCTCGTCGAACCACTTTGACATGATGTTGAGGACCACTTCTTGGTTTTTCTTCTCTTTTCCTTGATAGCCATCGGTATCAAAGATGCTGCCAATGTTGGGAATATTCGGCGATGTCATACAAGGACGTGGCAGGGGCATACAGGTCATGAGATCAGCTCGGGCAAAGTACTCGAGCTCATCGGACCAGTCCACGCGAGCCATCCTTCCCGCAGGCATCAGATATCGCGTCAGTCCAATGGCGGCCTTATTCCGAAATCCATTTATGGCTCCCAGTATTTCCGTCTTGTAGTGCTTCAACTTCACAAACTTAGCCATGGGCCTGCACTCAAAGGAGTAGTTCTAGGAGAAGGATATAAAGTTGGCGCTGCCATAGGAATTTCTATGATTTTCATATATCTACGGTCTTTAGGCAAACGACATTGTTCGCTCCACAGTACGGCAGATCGCAATAAGCGCTGGCATCAAATTTGAATCCCGAAACTCCAGTCAACCAACCTGCCAGCAAGAGGATCAGCGTTAGGCACTTGCCTGAGGACATCTTGGTTGGAGCAGCACTTGTAGCAAACTGAGATTCCCTTACCGAACGGCTTGGCATTTAAAGCCGAGAATTTCCTGCATAAAGTATGGTCTGTTCTTTAATATCAGGTATAATTTCTGAGAATTTTTGCCAACTGTCCAGCTGGTCAACGAATCAATTCTCAGAGTGCCATCAGTTGTTTATTTAACTAAGAAATATCAATGAATGTTTCACAACTGAAATACATTTCAGTCAGCACAGCACCCTATTTATTTCATCCATAAAGAGCTCTCGACGAGCTCTCAACTTCCAAAAAAAGACGTATAAAAATGAAATGAAATTAAGAAAATAATTGCGGAACGCATCGCAGCCATAACTGAAATGAGGCAGACATCTCGTCGCACCGATGGATCACTCTTAATGAGGAGCGGCAGCAACATTGCTCATTATACGAGTACATATGTATGTACATACGAGTAGTATATATTTTTCAAGCACTTGTAACTTTTGCTGCACTCGACTCGATTTGGCAGATGCGTCAGCACTTGACCCGAGCACAGACTCAGAGTCAGACTCCTCCGTTTCCCATTTGCAGACTCTTTGCCATGTCCCATGCCACCATGCTCCATGCCCCATGCTTGTTGTCCGCCAAATTGAGTTGACGTTGACGTAATGCCCCGCCACTTGACTGAGTCTCTTTTTTTGGCTTTGTCTTTTTCTGGCTGACTTTTTTTTAATATATTTTTTGGTTATTTTTTTGTTGATGAAGTGCATCAACGTCAGGGGCCGCCTTGGTCGGTCAATTAGCTGCACAGACCGAGAGTATCTCCCGGGTCGGTCGGGCACGAAAAAAGTGGCAGCGTGGTGAGCTTTACATGGCAGGGCTGCAAATCTTGTTGATTTCTTCTCTTGGTTTTCCTTCGTCAGTTTTTATCTCCAGTTTTGTTTTGGCTGGAGGTCACGTGGAGACTTTAATTGGCTGGATTGCGTACGCGATGACAATTTACTGAGAAGAGCCTCCAGAGTTCATAAGTGTTCGAGCGCATTCTTTTTATCTTTTGCAATGCTTTAACCTCATTCGGTCCACTTTAAATGTAGTTTTAAAACCCATAATCATAAATGTTTGCCTTCAGAACATCAGTTTCAAGCCACAGATTGTAAAGCTGTATAATCTGGAGTACAACTCTTTGAAACATCGCAAACATTATGCAAGATTTGCAGAAGATTTTCCCTGTTTCGCCTCCTTCCTGTGTACACCCGAGAAATGGTGCCTGAACATTACAACTTCCTGGCGATCATAAGCAAAGATCGTGGCACCGTTCCATTCGTTTGGCAGGCTCTTTACACATGCCCCAGGAAAGTAACATATATATGTGGGGAGGGGAGTGGAGAGAGGACAGGTACATCTCGAACCATAATGCCGCAAGTGATCGTACATCCGACTGTTTGGTGCACTCTTTGGTTGCCCAGTTGTTGTTGCTGCTGGACACGAGACATGCACGAGCCGGGGCATACGCCACCAACTGCAGCTCCTCCCCAGACAAGCGTTGCATGCCACCAAAAAAACGGTAGCCTTTTTTGGGATAACAACAATGAGGCCGGACCTCGGACCCCGGTCCTCGGACCTGGTCTCATTGAAAAGCGAAAGATGGCCAAATAGAAAATGGTGAAAATGGCAAAAGGCCAAAAGCGGACTGACAAAATATTTTTGTATATGATAAATGGCACAGTTTAAAGTAAGTCGAGCACTTGCAATTGTCCATGTGCATGCATCATGCGGCGGCACAATGTAAATTTTTGCACTGCACCGCCGCTCTGACCATTTGTGAGTGTTTCTGGGCCGTTACTGGTGCCTGGCTAATGGTGCCACACTAACCATAGTCCATAGCCATAATCTAGTACATTTTTCGCTAGGTCGTCCAATGGAGTCCCAAAGCTCCAGTCCAGTCAAGTCCGGTCCAGTCCAAAGTTACCTGATTTATGAAAGGGTCTCATAATTTACCACAAATATGGTCATAATTTTTGTTGGCTTTTACTTTTTGGGGGGTACAGCTGCTGGTCTCTGCTAATGAAGCGGCAGCCGCCAGAAATAGCCAGAAAGACCCCGAAAAAAATAAAAGAAACCAAAGCAATAGGAGACAAAACAAAAAGTAAAGAAAATCTCCAGCAAAGAAACTCATTTAAGTGGATGGACAGCCGATGGCCACTTGTTGCCATCGTTTCCTAGCAATCAGCAACTGCAGTGGTGGAACGTGTCATTCCTAACAGACCAGGACCAGACCAGACTAAACCCGACCCGACCAGACCAGACCGAGCCGTGCCGTGCCTATAATCATCATCAACATTACCAACCAGCCTCAGAGTCAGCCTCCAATGTGGAGCAATCACGTCCTGGACGGCACTGGACTGTGCCGGACTGGCCAGGGGCCCACTGTTTCAGCCATGCTTCAATAAATGTCACTCCTCAAGCTTTGCATCTAAAAATTGATGACAATAATTTGTTGCATTCGCCCGAGGGGGTGTGGCCAGCACCGATCTGCTGCGATCCGCTCCAGCTTTAGCTCTAGCTTCAGCCCAAAAATTGTCTTGGACAGACTGAAGCTGGCTCGAAGCTGCCACTGCCACTGCCACTGCCTCTGCTGCTGCCACTGCTGCCGCTGCTGTTTTCAACACAATTTATACAAAGTGTCGCAGTTTTTGGCGCTTTGCATTTGTTGCTGACAGACTGCCAGGCCGCAGCCGTGCCCCAGCCATGCCCCCCTGCAACGGTTTGCACTTTGCCGAATACAAAAACGAAGCATAAATTTCGTCATTTTGTCACAAGTCGTTTGTATGCGATACCCTGGCCGGATAGAGGCAGGTTTAGGGGCGGCAGCTGGGACGGGCACTGGAACTTGGGCTGGGCTGGGCTGGGCTGGTCTGGGAGTTGATTGCAAAGCGATTTGGAGAATTGTTTTCCCCCACAAATCCATGAAAAATCAACACACACTCCTCTAAGAGTTAACCAAACCCCAACCGGACTGGACTGGACACGAACTGGGACTCGGACTCGGAGTCGGAGTCGGACTCGGACTCTGTCTGGAGTGTGTAGAGGCGCTTTGATTTGATTTCGATTACACATTTTTCAATTTGATAAATTTATTGAGCTCCGGCTTCCAAACAAATCGCCTGCGATGCCAGATAAGAGCCAGGAAACTTAATACACCGAATATAATGAATCCTCTGGCATGAGGGCAACGAGTAGCATCGCCAGCTACTGGCTCCCTCTTGGCCATGGCCAATGCCACATACGAGAGCATATGGCCATGGACTGGCAATCGACTTGTAAATGGCATCAATTGCGACCTTTTGCCATTCTTACGGAAACATTTCGCTAATGAAACCGATACCTCAAATGTCAAGACACGATCCGGTTCGCCTCGATTTGGTTTAGGTTCGTTTTTGGCCTGTGGTCAGTCGCCCGTCTTGCTCCTGGCCAGTGGCAGTGGCCTGCAGCATTTACCACATTCTAGCGAACTTATGGCAGCCATAAAAATGTTAAGCACAAAACATTTGCCACATTGGCACCTTTTGGCCAACAAAAAAAACAACAAAAAGAAAAAGTTAAAGAAAAACGCTGAAATGGAGCACGCACGTGGCAAATGCACCCGAGGCGAAATTGGATGCTCCAACTTCTCCATAGTGATCGCAGCTGCAGTTCGTTATGCGGAAGCTGAATCCAATCATAATTTGAAGACGTTTTTTTGTCGGTTCGGTTAATTTATGTAGACTTTCCCGGGCTATCTTAGGAATGGTGCGAAATGAAATTACCACTGAAGAGAAGGCCAGAGGATCGATTTAAATAAATGATCTCTTTAGCTATAAAACCATACAATCGACTAGTAAATTCGCAATCTTATTATGTGTAGTATATCCATCCAGTTCATCCCTCTCACTTAAAAAGAATGCTTACCATAAACCCTTTTGCACACAAACATGTGCCCCCCAAAGCCATAATCCAGGTGCAGCTGCGTTTATAAGCATTTTTACAAGTTCTACTTGAGCAATTGGAATTGTATATGTTTTACTGCCTCACTTGATTATTTCTTTACAAAGCAGACAGCTCGGAAATTAATAAAAAATAATTTGTTAACAGCACACACTTGATGCCAAAGCAAAGAGATGATGCTGGATGGGAGTGCGGGCACTGTGGCTGTCGCTGTCTCTGTGGTGCCCCAAAGAAAACACGTCAAGCAATCATTCAAAGCTGTCCCAGAGATGGGGACAGGGGATCAGGGATCGGGGATTGGAACCCATGTTGGAGTGTGCTGTGGCGTGGGCGTGCAGCAGAGGCAGCAACAAAAGATCTGTGGACACATAAACAACATGCGACGCTCGATGTTGGCTGGACGCCAATTTCGTGGTACTCATGGGAGCCCAGAGCAAACCAACGAAAAACATATAAACGACCACGGGTACGAGTGCACATACGAGTAAGAGTACGAGTAAGAGTACGAGTACGGGTCCCAATATACGTGTTTAAACAAATACAATTTGCAATTATATGGCAAGCAAATCAAGTTGAAATCAGCATGCGATTTCCACCTGTGGCCGGCGTCATAATTCGTGGCTATGTTTTTGGTCATAAATCTAGCGATTTACAATTATTTTTGTTGTTGTTGTTTTTGGTTGTTTCTGCCTTTCTGCAGGTTTTTGTCTCTCGTTTTTGGAAATAGAGAAATATACAGAAATGCATTTCGTGGCACAGCGGGCCTGGACTTGGACATGGACATGGTTGGTGGCTGTTGGCTGTTGGCTGTTGTCTGTTGGCTTTGGCTGTGCCTGCGACTGTGCTTCGTGTACAGCAACAAAAGGCACCACACAACTGCTCCTAATGGCCATTATGGTCATTTCGTTATCACTTGCAACAAAGCAGGCGGCCCAAAGCGGCAACAAGGAAACGTTGCCACAGCCTCTCAGTCTCTCAGTCGCTCAGTCCCGATGCTGAGGCCGAAGGAAGCCCGAGCCAAGCAGAAACCAGAGACCGAACCGTGATCTG